CATTTCGTCGCATAACATGTCCATACCACGCTAACCTTTTGCTTCTCAATTTCCAAGTTTCTATAATTATTACAAATGTTTTTTTTGTATTAAAGCCATATATTAAATCCAACCTCTATAATTGGACATTAATAGGCGTTGAACACTAAATCACAGTTGCTAACATATTGTGATCGAAGTAAGTTTTGTACAGCACTTTAAATTTAATAAATTAATACTATTTTGGTAAAAGCGATACGCAGACTAATTACTGCCTATACGCTTCCATATAACAGGTCGTTAACGTTTTGTTGTAAGTTAATAAAAAAAAAAATCAATCGCCTGCAGCGCATAATAAATTATTGTTCGAAACTCGCCGATTTTAAATTAATTCGTATAGAAAACCGATAAGACATGGTCTACAGTTTACACCCACGCGGCTAACATAATCTAATTTAATTATGTCGGCCGCTCGGAATCGATTCTATCGATACATCGATAGCTAGAACAATTCGATGTCTCGATTATATATGGAAAGTACTCGATTACGTCCGATGTACACGCGCTTGCATTGTTGTTAAATAGTTTATTAGCAACTACATTGTTTATAGGCTTTTAATATCGATACTATTTTGTTGTAGAATGTTATACGCTTGTTTTTCAATCTATTGGAAGCACAAATAAGTTTAACACATTCTTGAAAGTTAATTTTTTGATTCGAAGAAATATATTTTTGTATATTGTTAGGCGTATGAACCAAACATGGTCGAATGAATTGAAAACAAACGGCTAACACGTAACCTTATTATAGGGCATCGTTCATTATCCTCAACACGTATGAACCTCAAGTAAATCCATCAATGCGTTAACAGTCGCCATAAATGTAAAACTGGCCTTTTTCGCGGCAGCCTTGCGCGGAACAATATCCAATAATAACAATAAAACAGTCACAATTACATGCGCAGGCGCATTATTAATATTGATCGGATACCATCATGGCGGATCCAAGATGGCCGACACACGAAGGACGACGGAAGTGGCTTAAATGGCGTTATTGGATATGGGAAAATTTTCATAAACTAAACATGAAATGTAAATTCTTTTATTTTTCTAAATAAGTCAGGCACTTACATGATGTACTCAAATCTAAACCGAGGTATGATATATTCGTAGGAGATTTAAGTAAAATCTTGCAACCAATCTCCATTAAATACTTCGACTAGGACTTAGTTTTGTTTTAATTGTCCTTTCGTATATAATTACCATTGATTAAAGGTATCTGAGATATTCATCTTTCGCTGTGGGTGTTACTGTACTGGCTAAAACTAATACTAGATAACTTCCTTTACTACAGACAATATTTAACTAACAATACTATTACAGTATTATTCAATACTCCTTACACATTTTTCCTAAAATTTGTAGCTAAGATTTCTTTTATTAAATCAGAAGACTGAATAATAAGCACGCAATCAAAAATGTTACTAAAATGCGTTACTACTGAAATTTGAAACCTTCATTCGTTTCAAATTTCTTAATGAATAAAGCCTCTATCACAAAACAACATTAGAACGCTGCATGTCTTAGAAAATGGTTCCTGGATCATTCCAAACTAATCGTATAAAATGGTTCGAATTCGTGTGTGATTTTCTAATAAAGAGATCAAATTGTTCAACATTGACTATACACCTCTAATGAAAGTCGTCTTACTAAACGACTTTACGTAAGTTTTGTCGTAACTTTTCGTGACAAATTATCGCAATGAATACAAGATAGGTATCACAAAGTCTTTGAGCTTTCAACTGTAATGTGTAAGCTCTAACAAAGGAGTAACTCAAAATCAAAGCAATTGCTAAATCCTTTTATATCCGTTTTATAACTAAATGTTCACAAAGGTGTTGCTCCACTAGAGTGGACTAACTCTAGCTTGTAATGTGATATGCTTACATTGTCAAAATATTATGTTGATTCCTACTTTTTTTACTGTTTATTTTTTTCTTTTATAGTATTGTATATTTGCAAAAAAATAGTAAATTTGCAAAGCAACTAAATAATCCAAAATAATAATATTATATTTTTTGTAAAAAGATTATAAATTCTTTAATAGTCATCTAATTTAAAGAGTTTTTTTTAATAATTAACGTATAAAATTTCTATTCAATTCGCTATACCCGTTGCTGTTACACTATAGTGTGGGTGTAGCTTTAACGAGTTAATTACATCGAGTCTGACCTTTGCCTCTTGTACGGCAAAAACTATTTCTAATACTTCATTAACAGTTTAATCATGAAACAATACGTTCTCTATTACAATTTTGTTGTACCAAACAACAATAGCATGTTTTCATTGAGCCGCATTCTTTAGTTTATCAACCAAGGCTAGTATTAGGTTGTTTTGTCGTTCTGAAAGTATAAATCTTTGATAGTTTATGATCAAAATATATGTTTGTAAATAGATGAGGTCGTGCGTATAGGTATTCTAAATATGTCTCCCACACGGCGGGACTGATAAGGACTAGGTTAGGGAGGAACGTAAAGTAAAGCGTAGACGGGTTTTAATTCTACGCAAACGAAAACGAGAACAACAGTTAAGTACACTATAATGTAAAATGCGTCGGTGGGTCAGTGGTTTGTACACTTGACTTGTAATCTACAGGTCTTGTGTTCGAATCCCGTCATGTAACAATGTGATTTTCGAATTTCATATGTACGTAATACCCGACGTTTTTACGGTGAAGGAAAACATCGTGATGCCTGCACATATAGAAATTCAAAGATATGTGTGAAGCCAACTCGCAGTGCAGCGTGGTTGACTTCACACATGGCCTAGTCTCCCTAACTTAGGGTAGGCTCCGACCCCCTTAGGGGACGCATAGTTTATTGTACGCAAAACACTCAGTAAAACCTATTCCATAGTTTAAATTGTTTATATTTTCATGTTAAAATTGTCCTCGTGAGATATGTCACGTTCTATCACAAGTTACTGGACCTTCAAAATACTAGTTACAAAAAAACAAAGTATTGTTTCTTAGAAAACACGAACACGTCACCGTCATATTGACATTTAGTTGTCGATATCGACAACCGAATGCTGTGACATCTATAGACGGTTTTATCGATATGTCGATCTGGCGGATGCGAGGCTGCACTATTATATTTTTATTTGTAACTTCGTTTACTTTTATTAATTGGATACAAATACTTAAATAGTCAAGCGTTTTATTTAATATATTTTTATCTTACTAGTGGTCGGCCATTGTTGAGTATAAGCAAAATCTATTATCTAAATTTTAATTAACTTAAAAACATGTAGAGGATAGTCTGTGAGAACATACAAGCTACTTAATTTTTGTTTTTTTTTTTTAATCCAGACGGAGTCGCGGGCGAAAGTTACTAATATATATTTTTAAAATAATTAATTTGGTACAGACTTAATCATAAACGGTAGTTAGCATTCTAATGCAGATGTTTCGTAAGTACAGTCACGAACAGCTATCGGCCACTTACACGAAGTGTTACAATAAACTTTGTACAACTACCTACACGTAACTATATTAAAGCTTCGACAAATTAGAGATCCGTCTACTAAAAAACCTTTCGCTTTTCAAAAATTCAAAATATATTCACTTCTGTAGACTGTACGTTATTTTAACAATAATTATTGTACTAACAACGGTGGATTTTTATTGTTCAAACACTAATAAAAATGTCTTTGTAAAGGAAACAACATTTTATTTACAAGTACAATATACATGAAAATTGTTAGTCTTTCTTGTCGGTAATAATATAAAAATAAATTATTGTCAATACTAAAATGTTACGGAACCCTTTTACCAACATAATAATCCAGCTTGACTCTATTTTAAAAATTGTTCAACTCGCCTCAAATCATTCAAGCGTAATGTCAAAATATAAGTCATAACCGGATACGGACGATATTATAATTAACTTAGCATTTAATAACAGAGTATAAAAGTCACACGAATAAATAACAAGAATTAAAATACAAGAGTAACAGATAAAGAAATGAAATGAGTCTAAAACACGAGTTCTATATATTCAGCTCTGTCTTTCTCTTTGAAAATAAAAGAGATAGCAATATGTATATGAGTTTCAGCAGAAACTCGATGTAACTTTTAAATAGGATTATCTAAAGTTATTTAAAAATACAGTTATAGTTAATGTACCAAATTGCGGATGTTAACTGGTTTTGTAAAACAATCTAAAAAGATGATTTAAAGACAATTTCGCAAAACTTTTGTTCTCAATCGGAAAAAACAATCAAGCGACATCCTTTTTGATGAAAGTCGTTGACAGTCTATTTATTTCTCTTTTACAATTTTTCATTATTAAATCAATTTTATATAAAAATCCTAAGTAACAAGAAATGTTGACCAGATAAATCATTGACATTATTGACTTGTAATAGATTATTATTAATTGACATTACAAAACTAAAAAATATTGATTCCATGACATTTTCGATGTAAGATACCGGAGGAGAGCCGAAGGCCACATCATTGTATTAGATTTTAATAAGTAATTGTACACCAAAAACACGTTACCAATTTCGACATGAATACAAGTTATTTTTTTATCAACCACGACTAGCGTTAGCGTTCTCATATTCTCGAAAATAGATCTTATAATACGTTGTTGATTATAATTAATTTCATACAGTTGATCGATGCGTGTTACACGTTCAAGCGGTTTTTTTCTCCGGACCGTATTTTTAAATTACACTATATTACGTCAATTCGTCTAGAAAACTGATATATTTTTTGTCGATCAACGCTTTACGCCAAATTCGCATGTTTGTCAGTCTTTTTACAGCATCAAATACCATGACGAGATTTAGTCAATTTAGTTAAAAGTAATCTCTCATAATAATACATTATTATATCTCGCGTTATAGAAATTGGACTAGATATGTTATTTACGTGAATAAATTAAAGTTCTGTTATCTAATTTTAGATTAAAAGCTTCGATTATAAATGATTTAAGACGTTTTTTTTGTTTCAGATGATGTATATGGCTGATTCAGAAGACTGATAAATATTATATCGAAGCCATACATAATGTACTCATGAACAAAATCCTTAGGTAAGCATCGTATACGTTATTAAATATAGCAACGTGCGACGATCCATACGAATTCATTATTTTCAAACAACAGAGAGAAAATTTAAAAACGAATTCAAAAACATTCCACAGTATTCAGCTAATCTCATTGTCAACAAAAGACTATTGTTAAATCCAGATACATTGTTTCAATTTAAATTGAACGAAAATGAATCACTGTTATGATTGGACGCTAAAATGTGTTGAATTAAGTTTGATTGTTTGTATAAAACTAAAGTTGGACGTATTGTTTTCGCAGGACGGGCTCGTTTCAGGTTGTGGTCCTCGAAAGAGTCCAAATACTGCAATGACTACTGCGATGGCAGCCCACCAGGAATCTATACACGAGAGACTTCAGCCAGCGACGGAGGAACCGCTGTACTTGCACCATGGAGCCGCATCCTGGGCCACGGAGGCATCGGATAACCACGAAGACCACAGCACCGATATGTCTCCTTACTACAATATGCCTAAAAGAAACAAACGGAAGAACTTCAAGCCCAGATGTGCTCCTAACGCGACAACATTCTCTGATGATTCCAACGGAGGACACTGTACCTTAGAGAGCCCAGTCAATGGCAACGATAGAACCTCACCGGATCAGTTGGTCGAAGATGAAACTGACGATGGTACCTTTGCAAAAATTGGAGTTAAAAACTTCAATCTTCTAAAAGGAGGAGCAGTCGATCTCAGTAGAAGATTAAGTACTGATTCAAATGAAAACATAGATTCAAATTATCAAAATAGTTTAGTCGATGATAAGAAAGTTGATACTTTCCAACGTTCTTATATACATAGTTTACAAATAAATCAAGAAGCTGAAAGAGACAGGACCGTGTTGAACTTTAGCAATTTACAGAACAAAACTTTTTGTGCCAAAAATCCTTTTGCTATATCTCAATTAATTAAAACTAACTCACCTCCTAGAAGAAGGGAATCTGATTCCGACGATGACAATAAAGATCATGATATTAACGCTAATGAGAGATTGGGAGAAGTTCAGGAACCAATGGAAATGGTGGAACCTCAACAAAATGGTGATGTAAATAATACAACAAATAGGATCTTAAGAGACTACGCTATAAACACTATGAAGGAATTTTTAGGAATTTATGGACTGTCTTCTAATGAAGTAGCTGATGCTATTAGCGGGCAAATACGAAATTTGGAAGCACTACAAGGTACAGTTTTCTTACTTTTAAAAATCATTTACTGCAAAGAACTTAAGCTTTTAAAGGTTTCATCCCTACATTTGTAATGAACGTTTTCTTGTTTTCAGGTAAACCGATAACTCAGTTGCCTATGAGTTTGAAGCGCAGACACGATTCAGGCGATGGCATTGACAGGAGCTTGAGAAGGTCGTCATCAGCGACTGAAGACGAGGGCTCTACTAATATAACACCACCGAAAACGCCGGACAATGACATAGAAGCTCAAAGGTAAAATATCACTAGTCAAAAACTATAATATTTTCAAATCACCATCAACCATGGGAATTCCCTAATGTAGACTTAAAAAGAAAGTAAATAATGTCATGTAAACATGTCTTTATTATTGTAAGCAATAAAAATACAGTAAATTCCGCCAAACAGTGTTAAAACAATTTTAATAAATAATCAAATATGCCTTTTTTACTTATTATTTATATATATTCAAAATAAATCAATTATTTTTTTATGCATGAACCTAGGTAAAGGCCTAGTCCAAAGTTTTCCATAATAGATTTTACACTAAGTAACCATAAATTTTATTGCAGTTTAGTTAGGGTAAAAAGTCTTGTCTTTTGCCCTTGATTTTTTATCTTAATAAGTATTCTTTTGTCTTTCTTCGACAGACAAAGAGCATTACAGATAATCAACCAGCAATCGATGAGGTTATTTGGCAGATCTCAAAGTCAAGAGGAAGATGGCAGCGGCTCTGATGATGGAGACCAGACTCTTGATCTGAGTGTATCGAGAGACGCGGATGGACAGGTATATCATTTATTTTATTTGATAATTGTGGTATATTGAATGTCGGTAGATGAAAATAAACACTTGACAATTCACATTCGAATTTTGTAGTTTTTGAAGTTTCGTTTCTCTTATTTACAAATATTACAATAGTTATTTTTTTTTACGTTTTAGATGTAATGATTCTCGGATGTACTTTCGGTTGAAGTACAAGAAAGTTTTAGGCTATATTTTAAAGATGGAAGATATTAAAAGTTGGTTTTCTAATTTTAATTGTTATTTCAATTTAGGAACAATCAACGACATCTAGTACTGGCAACAGCGTGTCAGAGTTCGAGCAGCAAAATATGCTTATGAGAAAGAATTTAGAGGATTTAGCTAATTTACAAATGCAGGTATGATGTAATTGACATCACGTTATTAAAGTTTTATCCATTTCAAGTTTATAAGCTTGTGAACATGTTGAAATAGGTTAGTTTTGTAATGATATCGAATAGTTTAAATTAATATTTTAGTTAAATGATTGCAAACATAATTAGAAATCAAAATGATCACTGAAAATAATTGAAAAATCGCTATAAATTCTTACATTTAATAACATTTTCAGGGTTTCTTCCAAAAACAATCAATGATGGATGCAGACGATTCGCAAGAAAGAAAATTACAAGCAAGTGGTAAGTATTAAAAAATATATAAAAAAACACAATTTCTTATGTTTTACTTCATAACCATGAATCTTACTGTCATTATAAATGCGAATGTTTAGATGGATATTTGTTAGAGTTTGTTGCCTAAAGTGCTGAACGGATCTCGATCATCGCACCAAGATATATACCACTATAATACTAAACTGTATGGTTACTTCTGAGTTAACTAAATCTAACAGAGTTAGGGTTTAACAAACGTGCAAATTTCGTATCTGGAACATTTCAGTGTGTCTGCTAAACTCGACATTTCTCAGCTTCGCCCTAATTAGGTGCACTTAGTATGTAACAGATGGTTGTGCCTTGAAACTGTTATGTCTAACCGAGCCTTAGGATTCAATCTGACAGTGTTAATTTGTTCGTTCTTTGTCATCTGTTTATTTAAAGAATCTATTTTACTAACTACCTACTTTATTATTGGCCATATCTCTTGAAACACGGTTTTAATTAGTTAGGAGATAGAGCTCCACTGATTTTGTTAAAAATTGTTTGGTTGCCATTTTTTTAGTATTGCTTTTAGGGCATATGCTATTTTTTACCTTATAGTAATATTGTGTCCTTAATTTGTTTAAACCTTAGTAAAATTTACATAATGTTTCAAAATGTCTATTAAATTTATTGGTTCAACCAGTATAAATGGGACTCAGTAATTTTTAGTGTTATGGCGGTAAAACGCTAACATCTTTGCCTTTTATTATATAAAAATTATGATAGAATAGTTACGAGCGGTAAAGTTAAGGCAATTATCAGGTTATTATCCTAGAATATTCATATAATAATTATGGCTGAAAAAAGCAACAAAAACATACAAAAAGTAGTCACATTACTTTGTTTCCACAGTCAATAATAATGAACTGTTAGAATTAATTAGACGAACAATTCCAAACAATCATTTGAATAACGACCGCGTACACAGAGTAAAAATAATTTCTCCAAAAACGCGTGCATTTTTTACACGTATCCGTGAAAAGTGACATGCCACTAATTTATTCTGTGATCGGCTATTTAGGATGTTTCTTAATTATCGATTCCACACAAATATTTAATCTGTACGTTGAACTGTCACTGAGACAGTTGGAAAGTGTCGTGAGATATTTGACATAAGCCATTGAACGTAATGCCGCTATAAAATACACTTTTGTTTGTTCTTAATTAATGATGTGGAAATTTCGATGTCTGGCTTCGTTCTGGCAATAAAACGTTTGAATTTAATATCGATAAATTTCAATCTATACTATTATAATAAAGCGTAAACACACACTTCTTTGTTGCCTAAGATGTCAGCAATTACGGCATGTTTTTGAATAATTATTTTTTGAATAAAAAGCCCTACACCTACGTCACGCTTTAGGCTATATATTTTCACGCTATTAAACTTAGGGGGTAAATATTTAGGATAAAAACCCTAATGTGGGAAAGAGACCATAAGTTGCTGCCAACATCAAGAAAGCAAGGTTGCTATGGTTTGTCAGCGTCATGTCATTTTGACATTTGCAATTGATGATTTGACACATGTAAACAATAAAATAAAATTTTCACAATTTTATGCGGATGAAGTCGCAGGGGAACAGCTAGTCTATTATAAATGCTCACCAAATTAATATTCTACCTACTTTCATTATAATAATTGAAAATGTAAGGTTATTTTTGGTTACTTTACTTAGTTTGCATTTGTAGAGTGTACTATTTTAATTCTTCAAATGTTTTTTCTGGATAATAATATTCCTTGGAACATTATAACTAGTATGAGCCCTTAGCTGACAACTGTTCTATTAATCTCAAGAACAGTCTTTGATAATACAAAAAAGATTCAACAATATTATAAACAAATTACGTCATAAGTAATGTTCATGTTCGGGCTATCATCAAATTCCGTGGAGATCGTGTTAACGCGCGTAACTTCCTGAGCGGGCCCCCGGCTGTAATTGTAAAAACCTCGGCAGCTCTAATCCACTTCAATAGAGGCAAATTCACTCAATTGAGCTCCGGCCAGCGCTGGGAGAGTAGCTAGTAGTAGCGCTAGAGAATAATACCATTCAAACTTTATGCAAGCCGGCTAACACATTATTTTGACTCCTAGTTGCTAGTGGGCGCGCTTTCCTGTTCCCGCAGGCAAACAATCATCTGCGAAGTCGTACGCTCCCAACTAAGTACGAGCTGCAATAAAGTTTGAATCTTTTAATACATCAACGATACGCGTGTAGGTAGCAAGACGTGAGTAATTTAATCTCATATTCATATGATTGTATTAACGAATGTATTTGTTTTGAAGTTCTCATAGAAAACTTTGTGCGAATTACTTCTTATTACGATAATATTGTTGCACCATAATTTTCAAAATCTTTTCTCTTCTACTCACTAAATTTCTATTATTCGCTATTACTCGTAAAGTTTTATTTCTCATACAAAAATTGTCACATATAATTATACATTATTTCACACCGTTAAACTAGATTCGAGTTTATTCAAATTGATCGTTATTTTAACTAATGCAATGAGAAGTTTTAGTGTTTCCGTCAATCACGTCTAGTTCCGCGGCCGAGTACTAAATTGGTTCGTAGAATTCCTCGCCTGGGACGGGTGATGGCCGGGGGACGGCCGGGGGAAGGCCGGGGGACGGACTGGGGATCAGCGGGGATAAATAGGCAAATAGCGTTTCCCATTTACTGTATAATAGAGCAGCTTCAGTGCGTCCGTCCGGTGCGCGGCGATTTGTTCTTGATTGTCGTGCGAGCTGTTGTTGCGACACGGCGTATCGCCCGCGCTTTACTAACGCACATCAAATACAATTACACGTACACACTACGAGTCCTTTAAATAAAATAATCTCCCTTTTACGACAGCAGAATACTTAAGTCATTTAAATATGTACAGCGTCTTAAATGATAAGATCGCGCTTAAACTGCAAATTCCTTTAAAATTAAGCGTCGCTTTTAAAGATAATTATTTAACATTCGTTTCAAAACCATCCTTCGACCACATCTTCACCTTGGTCTAGGTGGGATAGTGGTCAAGCGCTGGTTTTTGCAATTTAAAAAAATATTTTGCTGTAAGTCATTCTACACTCAGAGTTGTTGGTACTAAAGAGAGGACCTTGCTCGATAGAGCACCAGAAATGTACAAGGGAGTTTTTAGGTAATTATCAACATGTCTAAATGTGACATTGTTATGTAAGTTTTTTATGAAATTAAAATAAAATAGAACACGAATTGACGTAGAATAATTACTTATAATTTTTGCACAGATTATCTATATTTTCATCATATAAGACCAGTCGAAAGCTTTAATTGTTATTCATTTTTTCTGTACTAACAAATTCGTTTTAAAATTCAACAATGGTATTACCATTCAGACATACATAGACGCGGCTACGTTTTCATTCATGTGTTACTTTCGAACAAATTAATGCGGAGTCACATAGTATCATGAAATGTTTGAAGACAATGCGAATTCAAACTACATATATACATATATATTACAATATTAAATCGTTATTGTTTGTTGGTTTGTTTTTTTATTTATATAAATCTATTTGAAAAGTATTAAGAGAAAGATTTTGATTAAGTTAGATTATTCGATTACGTTCATAATATTGTTGTTAAAAATAAAAATTAAATTACAACAGTCATAAGAAAGTAAGAAAATGATGTATCGATTATTCGACTCGATCATCGATTATCCAACTTGTTAATATTCATAAGGTTTTCTGTCCTTGTTTAACATAAGACGAAAGTGTATTTGTTCCTGTCTAACTGGCTACAGACCGTGAACTCCTAAGGCGATAGAGTTATAATTTATTTAGTAAAAAATCGTTAATTACAGTCATTAAAACGCGGCTTCTAACATATTTCTGATTATTACATGTTTGTGAAAATATATTTATCATTATATTTGTCTGCGATTGCTTTTTAGGGTTCCTTGAGTCAATTGATGAAATTATTCATACTAAGTACAGTAATAAAGTACTTATTTAATCTATTTTAATTTCTTGTCCTGCCTTTAAATCACCAATACAACACACGCATCCTAGAGGGGTAGACAGGGACCATGGAGATTTAGAACTGTCTTGTCACACCGTCACATATTTTTCTGGCTTCTTTGTACAATACAATTCACAAATATAATAGTACGCTTCCGCTCGTAACTCCATCCGCGTGGAATTAAAAAAACAAAAGTAAGTCGCCTATGAGTTCTACCAGACTATGCTCTACATCTATGGCAAATTACATCGAGATATTTTCAGCAGTTTAGGCGGCAAACTATAATAAACATCCATCCATCTAAACTTTCGCATTTATAAGTGAGATTGTTAGGAAATTACAGTTTTTCATGAATAGATGATAAGTATCCTTGCATTGAAGGTTAGCATGTGTGGCGCATCCTCCACTCTTTTGTTAATTAACCCGGCCCCGCTCCGCATATCCTTGCGACGAGAACAGAGACATGAATGGAGTCGAATTAGATTAGTAATTTTTAATATTATTTTTATAAAGTCATTTCTGTAGAGTTTTTGTTTTCAATTTAAATCATAATTTAGTTATTTTTTTTATTGCCGCCGTTTTGTTCTACCAAAACATACAACATACAACATATTGTTTCTTATTTTATAATGTAGTAAATCTATCAGTCGAGGTTTTTAACCTATTTTTACAGCATTCTCATTAAAACTAAAATCTCTTTACAATTATAATATTCCTAATTTTATTTTGTTTATTAAGTTAACTTTCTCCACGTGTTTAATCTATGTTTAATCTCGTATACAAAAGTAAATCTTTATACCTGTACAAGGTATAACGAAAAAAAAATCACACCTCCACGGATTTAATGCGCGTATAATTTCTTTGTGGCACCGCGCAGAATGTGAGCAGACGTCATAAAATATGCATTTCTTCGGATGCTCGCGCGCACCACGCACACTAGCGCCATACGCGCACACTAGCGCCACTCGTGAATACACACACGAATATATC